GCTGGCGAAGGAAGGCGACCGGCCTTTGCAGTGCACGCCGGGAGCTGCAGTTCAATGGCGCTGCTTGCGAGTACGCGCAGGGGGTGGACTAGCGCCGGGGGGACGCGGCGGGACGCGGCGGGACGCGGCGGGACGCGGCGGGACGCGGCGGGACGCGGCGGGGGTGGGGAGATGTCCAGAGGCTGACTTCCGGACCGGCGGCTGAGCGAATCGGGTAAGTGCTCTGCTCCTCGCGGCCGCGGGCTCGAAGCTGGGTCCGACGCCGTCGTTTCTGGACTGTAGGTACAGGCGCGGGCGCCCCCCGCACGCGCCCCGGCCCCTTGAACCCGCCAGCCCGGACTCCCTGCAGGCCGTGACCGTGCGGGTGTTTCCCCACGCCGCTTCCGCCCCAGCTGCTGACCCTCGCGCCCAGCGAGCCGGCACGACTCAGGGCATCTCTGCCGAGCGAGACGTGAACCAGCCCGGCTCCCACCCTCGTCCTGCTTTGCACCGAGCGCCTGGGTCTTCGCCAGAGTGGAACGCGAGAGCAGCATTCTCAAACGAACTATGGACGGGATGTTAGCGGACAGGAGGAGCACAGGCTCCGTATTCCGCATGAAACTAGGATAGCATTTACTAAATTATTCTTCATCCGGATAAGGTGCAAATCTGCGGCATGGCATACATCTTCGAGGCCCGGGCCTTGCCGCTGAGGAGCTGTGCCGTGTGATGCTCCTTTTTTGTTAAAAAGGACTGCTACCAGTACTGTCTTCCATTCCTCTATCTCTAGCCTCTTGGGCTGCATTATATGTAAAGAGATTATAAGTGAAGGCAGCTTAAGTTCTTTGGAAGAAGAGCAACCTGAATCCAGTTTTTTAATTTTTTTTTTGGTGTGTTTTGTTTACTTGTGTGAACAGGCTCACTCCTTTGATGGAGCAGTGGAATGCTGAGTGACACAATTACAGATCGCTCCAGTCTTACATCCTCCCAATTCAGCAATTCCTAGGAAATTTGGAATTTCTCCCACCTCACCTTAGGTAAAACCTCAGAGACTTTTGAAAGGCTCAGTTTATGTCAGATACCTGCTCCTGTGGTGGGAGGGAAGGGTACTGTAATGAATAGCCCCACCAGACCCACTGGAGTTTAGAGGGCCTCAATCACAAAGGAAGAAGATGCATTCTAAAGTAAGAAGGAATACTAGAAAATAAAAGCATACAGCAAACCAGTCATTTCTCATCCACACTGTGTGTGTGTGTGTGTGGTGGTGATAGAGGAAGGTGTAATGATGAACAGGTTAATCCAGAGGCACCTCACAAGAAGGTGGCAATTGGGAAGGTGGCTCCTGGCTTCCTGAGGGGAGGGAGGGGAGAGAACAAGACCCAAGAATATGGGGAACACAAGAAAGAACAGCCGGACTGCACTGTGAAAGTAGCTTGGGGAATACACGAGCAAACACCAATCTGGCTGTGGAGAAAACTGTTTTGATATTTCCAGCGGTTTAGATTCTCGGATTATAGAGGGAGCAAAGGAAAAAGACAAAGTACATCACTAGAAGCAGAGGGAAGGAATATGACATCACTTTATGCTGTCTTTTTCCATTTCCTACAGCTTCCCTATCATTCGTCGAGTCTTTTTCAGCTGTGATTCTGCACCACTAAGATATTCTAATGTTTCTCTGATTCCAGGAGGACTTTCACTGGTGTCCGGAGAATGGCTTCCCAGTGATATGAGGAAAAAATGGAACCTGATCTACAGGGTAGAAGTGGCTGCCAGTCAGCCAGTTTGCTGAGGCAAATCATGGCTACAACAAGGAATCCCCAGGCATACCCCATCCCCAAAAAGGACTGCTCCCAGGGACAGAAAGCCTTTCATTGCACCAACCCTGACTCGGAAGGTTCCCGCCAGCGCTTCAGGCGGTTCTCCTACCAGGAGGTAGCTGGCCCCCACAAAGGTTTTAACAGCTCTGGAAAGTCTGTTGTCAGTGGCTAAGTCTTAGGACACACTCAAAAGAGCAAATGCTGAAGCTGCTGGTTTTGGAGCAGTTGGAGCAGTTTCTGACCATTTGTCAGAGATCCAGACCTGGGTGAGGAAACAACACCCAGGAAACGGAGAGGAAGGTGTGGCTCTTGTTGAAGATGAACAGAGTGCATCTGGACAACAGGTGAGGAAAGGCACTCAGAACCTGGTGAGTTTTGTTATGAAGAACTGAGTGAGAAGCACAGGAATCTGGTTAGTGGAGACGAACCAAGTTGAGAAATGCACAGGAGCCCTCTGTCACCCACCAGAAACTATGAGCTAACTTGGGGTGGTCCCCTGTCCTTCGTCTATGGGGAGAATTTCTCATTTGCTACAATAACGTAGACACTGATATATTCAGGGAATGTTTAGGGTCCCTAATACAAATGTAAAACCTCAGAATAGTTCCCAACAGAAGGCCAGGGAAAGGACAACTATCCCTCACGCAGGGAATCAGGAAAATTAGAGTTGCTGAATTAAAATCCAGTGTCTCTTGCAGAAAGGTTCCTTGAGTGCAGATGCCATGTGCTATACACAAAATAATGTTGTATCAGAGCTGTTACTGCTGCCAGGATTAAGGGGTCAGTAAGGGATAGTGATGAGTTTCACAAAGTATGCACTTGTCCAGTTAGGAACTAGGTCTGATATCTGGTCAGTGTAATGATCTTGTACATTTTGGGAGAAGGGAGGTGTGACAGGCACAGGAGAAGGAACGTGGCTTTGGTTGTGGGAGATTTGTGGGAAGAAAGCAACTGAGATCCCAATCCCAAGTCTGGGAGAGGCACAGACTAAAGGAGGAGTGTGGGTCAGAGGGACGCTGTAGACTGAGCGGCTCTGTGGTCAACAGGAAGCAGCTCGCTGGGTGCGGAGACTGCATCACTGGAACAGGAGATGCTGGTGTCCCCAGTGAGGAGGCAGACATGTCCTCAGGCAGCAGGGGGAAGAGTGTTGTTGACATAATGTGGAGAAGGCAGAGCTGTGTGGTGGGGACACTTTGGGGTCCAAGCTGAGGAGGTTCATGAAGGATCCATGAGGTTGGGATAATTAATAACACCTAAGAGGGGGCGGAGAAGGGCAAGCAGTAGCACATGAATGGAGTTAGAGACTGGACAGGAGAACAGCGGGAGCCCCTACATGCTGGTAGGCATCCTGCTCTAGGCCCCCTTGCCCTCTCTCTGTGGGGACGGTCTCTCCCTTGTGGCCCCCACCATTTCAGAGCCAAGGTCTTAACAGGAATGCAAAGAGTACAGGAATGTAAGGGTTGAGAGAGCTACGTGAAACCTGCCTGGGATGTGAAGGGCAGAGCAAGAAGTAGAGGTGAGCAAGAAGTAGAGGTGACAGGGAGCAGTGCAGATTGGTAGCATGTGTCAGGATGCCCAGCTGCCTCTCCCTGCCACCCCTTGGTCACCAAGGACCAGTTAGAAGCTTGGGATGTAAGGGATGCAGGTGGCTCTGAGAGACACAAGTAGCTCCGAGGAGCCTGCCACGTGCCACATATTGGTTGGGGATTTCACAGTGAACGTGACAGGCGTGGTCCTTGGCCTGCAGGAGCCTACACTCCGTGGGGGAAACGGACAACAGGCAAAGGAAGAAAGCTACTTTGGGATAAGTGCTCTACAGGAAGGAGCAGGCTGACGTGCTGGACAAGGACCGCGGGGCACACATTAGGAAGATACTCCTCATTCTCTTTCGATTTGCATTTTCTGTGAATTGTAGAAAGGGTATCCTACAACACATGACTTTCCTTGCCGGCCTTCCCTCACTGAGAAGGTTTCAAGGCTGTTATTACTACTTCGTTCCTTTTCATGTCTGAATAATCCATTGCAGGGACGGACCAAGACTCTGTCTTTACACACGTCTTCCAGTGAAACACTGTGGCTGCATACATTTAAAGACGGCCCACAGCCACTGCTGCCTTTTATGGCTGCCTTTTATGCTTAATTGAAAGCTTCCATTATAGGGTGCTCAGTAACTTTTACTTTATTTTTAAAAAATTACTTATCTAAGTAATCTCGACACCCGACATGAGGCTCAAACTGACAACCTCAAGATCGAGAGCACATGCTCTTCTGACTGAGCCAGCCAGGCATGCCTGCTCCGTAACCTTTAAAAGTCAGCTCTTGTGTCACCTGGGTTCCTCAGTTGGTTAAGCAAGAGCCTTCGGCTCAGTTCATGATCCCGGGTCCTGGGATCGAGCCCCGCATCGGGCTCCTTGCTCAGCAGGGAGCCTGCTTCTCCCTCTCCCTCTATCTGCTACACCAACACTTGTGCTCTCTGTCTCTGTCAAATACATAAATTAAAAATCTTTTAAAAAAAAAAAGCTCTTTATTTAATCCAAATTCTATAGGAAAACATGACATGTTCACACTCTGTACGTTGGCTAACTTCGGTTGATGAAGCGGAAAATTGTCTAAGAGGTGTATTTGCTGTAATGTTTTCTACAGATGAAACAATCAGTATCAGTGTAAATCTTAGCATTTACTTCTTTTTAGTCCCTGGGAACATCACTGTTCTCTGGTGTGTGGTTTCTGAGACTCTGGGGTTGAATGTGAAGGGGGGTAGGACTCACCGTGTGCCCAGTTCCGCTGCTGTTGCTCACCCTGGTTTCGGGCTCCTCAGATCCCTAGTACTGTAAACTCCTCAGAGTCACAGACGTGTGTGTGTCCCCCGAGGTTCCGTTAATAAGTCAAAAAAAATGAACCACTTCCTCACTAGAATTCTTGCAGATGGATTTCTGGGACAGAATATATTATGCTGGCCTGAAAAAAATGAAAGGCTTGAGTTACTGTGGTATCTTTAGGACTACTAGGGTCATCTCTAGGTGGCGGGGCTCGAGCTTTATCTAGAATGTGCATATGAAACATTTTGTTCTATAATGTGCATATACTACTTTAGAATGAAGCAAATTTTTGTTTTTGTGTTTTTTTTTAAATAAACAGCTATTATGCCAGCAATCTGCTGAAAGGAGCTTCTCGCCACCCAGAGGCCACTGGCGCTGGCTCAGACGCACCTGGGGGGCATGTTCGGGCACATCCCCAGAGCTTCAGATACAGTGGGTGCAGGTGGGGCCCAGGAATATGCGTTTGTGACAGGTTACCGGCGCGGCTGGCCTGTGACCCCACTCAGCCCCTGCTCTGTGGCAGCCGCCCTCCACCAGAGGCCATTTTCTCCCCAGCCTGGCTGATGGCGCAGGCTCCCAGGAACCTTTCCCGGAAGAGGGGTCTTCGAGACCAGGAGACTGTGTGTTGGGCAGCTGGGGCCCAGGTGAGCTGTGCTTGATGCCCGCTGTCTCCCGAGGTTCCCATTTCACTCTTCGCCCCAAGCCCTTTCTTACTTAGGGATGTTAGAAAGATCATGAGGTCCATGCACTGGCCGTCCCTTGCATTGTCGTCTGTCCATCTGGCATCTCCACATGGCTCTGTGCTCACCCTGGTGCTTCCCTCGGAGGCCTGACCTCCCTGCCTTGCTTTGCCCGTATCTGATGCCAGTGGTCCTGTCTCTGCCCTACGCCAGGCTGGAGCGGTGCTACTTTACAGGCAGCAGCAGCCCCCGGTGTTGTTACAGGGACCAGTCACGTGTGAGGACAGAGCCATATGCCTCTGTCAGGAAAGACAGACACTCTTTGGCCCTACACAGAGGACCCTCTACAGGGGCGTCACTCAGAAGAACGACGAAGATCACTCTCTGCGTAAGGATGCCCATTCCCTCAGGGCCAGACTGTCTGTGTTCCTCTCTTCAGAGAGAGACGCAGACCCGAAGACCCGAGAAAGGAGGAGACAGAGGCAGTGGAGACTGTTGGGTGGAGGGAGGGAGATAAAGAGGAAGAGTCTACTCACTGATATGAGGAATTCTTAATCTCAGGAAACAAACTGAGTGTTACTGGAGTGGTTGGGGGTGGGAGGGATGGGGTGGCTGGGTGATAGACATTGGGGAGGGTATGTGCTACAGTGAGCGCTGTGAATTGTGCAAGACTATTGAATCACAGATCTGTACTTCTGAAACAATGCAACATATTTTAAGAAAAAAGAAAAAGAAGAAGATAGGAGAGGAAGAATGAAGGGGAGTAAGTCAGAGGGGGAGACGAACCATGAGAGATGATGGACTCTGAAAAACAAACTGAGGGTTCTAGAGGGGAGGGGGGTAGGGGGATGGGTTAGCCTGGTGATGGGTATTGAGGAGGGCACGTTCTGCATGGAGCACTGGGTGTTATGAACAAACAATGAATCATGGAACACTGCACCAAAAACTAATGATGTAATATATGGTGATTAACATAACAATAAAAAAATTTTTAAAAAAAGAGGAAGAGTCTAAGAGCAGGCACGACACACAGGGACTGCAAGAAAGGGAAAGCAAGACACCAGAGGGCTCAGGACAGGGTGGACAGCACGTGTGACAGCGAGCGGGAACAAGGGAGGGGCGAGACACGGAAAGCAGTGGGGACAGAGTGTGGCAGGTAGAGCATGGCACTGGGGGACAGCCTGCAGCGAAGGAGACACGGCCTGTGGGAAGAGCAGGGCGACGTGAACGCACACGTGCTCGCGCACACAGCGGAGACCAACCTGAGGGGCAGCGGGCACTCGAACGGAGCCAGCGTGCTTGTGAGCCCAGGCCGTCGGGGGGCAGCGGGCCCCTTCAGACGTCAGACCATTAGAGCCACACTCCCTCAAGGATTCCCCCACCGTGGACACAGGCGAGCATCACACTCACCGTGAGTCAGCTCTCAGGACAAATGAGTGGGATTCAGGATAAGGAGAAACAAAAGGGCAGCTTTGGTAAATATTCCACAGCCCCTTCTCCGTCAGAGGGGATGCCCTTCCCGCTATGCCGAGCGTCTGTGTTTTAGGAAAGAAGCCCACAGTGGGGTAGCTTCCCAGGGATGACAGCACACAGTTGTGGCAGAGCCTGACAAACCGGCACGCAACTTCCTGAGCTGCTAACCCGGCCGTGTGGTGTGCAGGGCCCTGTGGTCTTATCGTGTGTCCCGTGGCCCCAGGCAGCAGGTGTACACTGGGGCGACGAGGAGACCGAGACGCTCCTGGCCACCCTGTGGATGCTCAGCATCATGAGAAACTCCAATTCGTGAGCACAGCCAGGCCTATAGGGCGGTGGCAGGACGACTCCGGGAGCAGGGCTTTCTGCGGACCCCAGAGCAGTGTCGCACCGAGTTCACCAGCCTGCCGTCGAGGTACCACAAGGGGAGGGCAGGCCATGTGCCTGAGCCATGTGTCCTTTATGAGGCAGCGGATGCCCTGTCAAGCTCCCGGGCCGCTGCACCCACGGTGGCAAGCCGTGCTGTTCCTGGCCAAGAGGGAAGGGCTGCAGAGCCCGGAGAGCTGAGTCAGCAGAACGGGGAGCCCACAGAGGTCGGAGAAGGGGCCTGGGCGGATGGTGCAGCCGGGGATGAGCAGGACTTCCGGGATCCTGGCCGGGAAGGTAGGAGACGTGACCTGCCAGTCTTGTTCCCACACAGAGTTGGTGAAATTCTTGGCTCTGACAGCCAAGGGACAGGGACGTCCCCCCAGTGGCCATCAGCCCGGCCATCAAGAGGGATCTGCCTCTGCCGCTGGCGTGCTCACTGCCCTGATGGACGGCCTGGCACGGGCCCGGGAGGCCGGCTCTCGGTGTGGAGGCTTTCCCCTTGCCCTTCAGAGCCCAGGCCCGCATGTGCCAGCCTCTTTCACGGAGTACGTTGCATTTTTCCTGTGCGGCTCCCTTCCTCGGCTTCCTCAGACTGCCAGAGGCTCCGGCCCAGACTCTCTCCCCTGCCCTCCTGCTCCAGCACCACCCTCCTGTCCTGGCCTGAGCGTCTGCTGGCCACGTCGTGGCCACACGCTTACCTCTCATTTCAGCCAACCTCAGGGCAGCCTGTTGTTACTCAGCTGCCGGCGGCAAGGCCGTCAAGAGTTGAGGTGAAGCCTGGAGACAGACTGGCAGATGACACAGAGCTAGCCTCTCGGCCTCAGACGTGTCACTGTCTTAACATCCAAAAAGAGACAGTACGGGGCGCCTGGGTGGCTCAGTCAGTTAAGTGTCTGCCTTCGGCTCAGGTCGTGATCCCGGGGTCCTGGGATCCAGCCCCGTGTCAGGGTCCCTGCTCAACGGGGAGCCTGCTTCTCCTTCTCCCTCTGCCTGCTGCTCTGCCTACTTGTGCGCACACTCTCTCGGGGTCAAATAAATAAAATCTCTTTTAAAAAAAGAGAGATGGTATAGGACAGTAGGTGGAATCTAGGGGCAATTTTCCCTTGACCACAGGGTTTGGAGCTTGAAAGTACTACAATCGGAGAATGAAACTAGGCTAGTACTTAGCAGAAAGCTGAATCCCATGAGGAATTCCATTTAGGGGGTGTCTGGGTGGCTTAGCTGGTTAAGCATCTGCCTCTGGCTTAGGTCATAATCCCGGGGTTGAGCCCCCATGGGACTGAGCCCCCATGTCGAGCTCCCTGCTTAGTGGGGAACCTGTTTCTTCCTCTCCCTCCCTGGTGCACGCACCTGATTTCTCTCTTTCTCCAATAAATTAGTAAGATCTTTTTAAAAAAAAGAAAGGGGGCGGGCGCCTGGGTGGCTCAGTTGCTTAAGCGACTGCCTTCAGCTCAGGTCATGATTCTGGAGTCCCGGGATCGAGTCCCACATCGGGCTCCCTGCTTAGCAGGGAGTCTGCTTCTCCCTCTGACCCTCCCCCCTCTTGTGCTCTCTCTCATTCTCTGTCTCTCAAACAAATAAATAAAATCTTAGAAGAAGAAAGAAAGAGGGCACCTGGGTGGCTCAGTCGGTTGAGCGTCTGCCTTTGGCTCGGGTCATGATCCCGGCGTCCTGGGATCGAGTCGTGCAGAGGGCTCCCCACTCTGTGGGTAGCCTGCTTCTCCTTCTGACTGCTGCTCCCCCTGCTTTCTCTCTCTGTCAAATAAATAAATAAAATCTTCAAAAAAATAAAAAAGAAAGAAAAGAGACAGTATAGAACAGTAGGTGGACTCTAGGGGTTTTTTTCCCCATGACCACAGGCTTTGGAGCTTGAATATACAACAATTGGAAAATGAAATGAGGCTATTACTCAGCAGAAGGCTAAATCCTGTGAAGAATTCCATTTAGGTATTTCTCCCTTATGGTGCTTTAACTGTAACTTTCCTCATTGTTCTGTTCTTTCTCCATAGTCCCATGTCTTTCTGTTCCCTCAGGTCTTGAGATCAAGAACAAAACTAAAACAGAGAATCAGAAATGGGATGATTCAGGGCAAGCAGAAGTGAAGAAGGCCGTATGGAGAAAGTGTAGTGAAATTTTTTGGCACCCTGAGCCCAAGAGAGGCCAGAGGGTGAGCCTGAGCCCAAAGGGCAATGAAGACGTTCTCCAGGGGAGCGTGCGGGGAGACCCCCCTTCCCAGGACAGGAGGAGTCAGCAGAGACTCCATGCCGGCGAGAAGGCCTGTGCGCGTGTCCCGAGTGGGGGAGACTGCTCTCAGCGCTCTCTCTGTCGCCACCAGCCAGTCCCCGAACTGGAAAAAAACATCTAAGTGCCAGCAGTGTGGGAAAAGCTTTAGCCGAGGTTCTTACCTCATTCGGCATCAAAGAATCCATACAGGAGAGAAGCCTCACAAGTGCAGCGAATGTGGGAAAGGCTTCAGTGAGCACTGCCACCTCATTGCCCACCTAAGGACGCACACGGGGGAGAGACCCTACCGCTGTGGGGAATGTGGGAAAAGCTTCAACCAGAGCTCCAGCCTCATCATCCACCACAGGACCCACACCGGCGAGAAGCCTTATCAGTGCGCCGTCTGTGGGAAGAGATTCAACAACAGCTCCCAGTTCAGTGCTCACCAGTGAGCCCACATCCGGCAGAGCCCCCCGCCGCCCCGCGCACACTGTGGGAAAAGCTTCAACAACGGCGCCCACGGCCATGCCCACCAGAAGACACACACCGGGGAGAAGCTGTACAGGTGCCCTTGGAGTGAGAAAAGCTTCCCCAAGAATCCCCTCCTCATCCACCATCAGGGGGCACACAGGGAGGACACACTCACACCCAAAAAGGGACACATGCTGCAAGGGTGTAGGAAGGCCAACAGATCAATTCCCTAGTTTGAGTCTCCTGGAGCTTCCATCGGCTTGTGGAGGCTTCTGCCAGCCAGTCTGTGGCTCAGCAGGAGACCTACAAGTGGATCTCAAGAACCACAGCGGGACTAGGACTCACCATTAGAGTGCTGAGCTCTCTTTCTACGTCTGCCTGTGACCCCCAGTCCTGTGTCACCGTGGACTTCCATCTGCTTTGAACACAGGATCCAAAGTCCTGCCAGGAAACTAGGGTAACCTTGTTCTGAAGAGAGAATGGGTGGCTAGTGGCCTGGGAACTGTTTCTGGGGCAGGTCAGAGAAGAAATTTTCCCTGCTCATGGGAAGCACATCTGCAAGTGAATGGCCTCGATGTATCCTAAACCGATAATATCTCTAGGCACCTGCTCTCTGGTACATCTACCTCAGAGTAGGTCACTGCTCTGTACTCTAGTCACCCAGAAAAGACAGCAAAGCAGGAGGGACAGCTTAAGCCACAGGGTACCACTACTCTAAGTGACTTAATCTCAGAGCAAGTGTGACATCTGGGTTCCTCTTTCTAAGATTTCTCCTCTAGATCACCCCCACCCAGGTTCCTGGTTTCTTGTGTGTTACATTTAACAGTTTCAACAGGTTTATAAGCATTACTATTTCTAATGAAAATAAAGGTGTTTCTCCCTCCACTCTCTTGGTCCTTGGTGCTAATTTTCTCCATCAGAAACTTTATCCTCATGCAGAGGCCCACAGGGTCCCAAAAGGATCCAAGGGTAGAGCCTGTGGCGGTGGAGAACATACAGAGGAGCAGGAGAATTGGGTTGGGGAGGGTTGCACGCTCACTGGGAGGGGACATCACAGGTGTAAGGAAAACCCAGGGGTGCAGGAGAAGGAATGCGGTGTCAAGAGCACTAAAAACCAATCTAAATCATATTAATTCTAAACAGATATTTAACCTTCTGTGAAATTTCCATGGATAAAACGTGGTAAAAGATGGGCACGTTGTCCTGGTTCCTGGCCTGTGCATACAAGCTGTTAGTACCTTGTCTGATTATGGTGAAAGCAACTGTCATGGTCTCTGCTTCAGTCTTTTTGAAGAATTAAACAAGAACAAAGAAGGATGTTCTACTTCAAAACCAAAAAATAAAACAAATTTAAAAAGTTTTAATTTGGGGGAAGAAAGGTAAGGAAGGCAAGTCCTAAGAATCTATGTCAGTGTTTCCTCCAGTTGAGCCTTGCCCGAGCTCATTTCCCTGCACACACTGTCCCCGAGCATGACCCTCACAACAGGCTAGGCAGGTCAGTTCCCAGAGACCCAGGCTTAACTCTGCTCTACACAGAGGGAAAAAATAACATCTTTCCAGAGCCCGCGTGAAGACAAACAGAGGGGTTTCACTGTGCCGTGACTGGGATAGCTGACTTCACTGGACATCATGGTGGGGAACAGAGACACAGCCCAGGGTGGATCAGTTAGGGAAGGGCTTTGGATACCCGCTCAAAGAGCCAGATTTGCTTAATGAGGGAACCAGTGGAAGTCAATGGAAACAAGGAATGGAGGTGCCCAGGGAGGCCTCTGTAGCAGGCTCCTCCCACTCCTGGGGTGCCGCGGCCAGGGAGTTGGGGGCAACTGCTGACTGCTTGCCTTGTTGGAAGTGGGGGCTGCCTCCACCCTCCAAACTGCTTCATGCTCCAGTCTGCTGGGCAGAGAAAGGAAGTCAGCACAACTCTTGCCTGTCAGCTGCCCCGGACAGTCTGGAGGAGACAGGTAGGAATTGGAGAACACATTCATTTATTCATTCCTTCAGGAAATATTTCATATTTCCTGGTTCTTTGATATACCACATTCCTTAGCAGCCAGATACAACGCCGTCAACGAAGTAGACACTCTGTCTTCCAGAATCACCTCACCAGATCTTCGGAAGTACCAGCACCAGTTGGGCAGCACCACCCAGCTCTGACATCCCCAAGATGTGACCCAGATGTGCAGGGCCTCTCTTCTAAGTCTTGATTAATCCAACCTTTTTGCTGTGTGCCCCCAACCCCATGTGGAGTAGCTGTCCCCTGCACTTACTATGTTAGATACCTTACTGTCTACCTCCCATTGACTCACACAGCCTGATCTCTGCTCCAGCCACTGGAGAATGAATGTGAAGTAGGTGTATAAAAGGTAATACCTCCAAGCCTATTGATCTCCTCTCAGGTATAGAACACCCTCCTGGTTTGGGTCAGACCTTCACATGTCTATTGAGAAGCCAGTTTCCCCTCCTGTATACGAAATACTGGGACTCTCCATATGGTTTCTATACTTCCTCCCTCACTGAAACATTTTAACTAATTGATATAATTTCTCAGTGGACACTTCCTTGCCGAAAATTACTAAGCATTCCTCTAGGCAAGATCCATATTCTCACAACCCAAAGAAGGCCAAAGCCACAGATCACCCTCCCTTCGCATATATCCGTGTGGTTCTTCAGTCTAAGGTAGCAGATGGGTGCCTGTAGCCAAAACAGGAGCTGGATCCCTCCAGCCTCATGACCCCACTTTTTATTCCCTGAGGCACCTCTTCTCAGCCTCTCCTGTGAAGGGACTACCCTACCAGCCAGTGCAGGAACAGGCTGGGGAATCCTGGGACCCTGGGCTGGAGTGTGCCCATTTCACTGCTGACCTCATCACACGCAAATCTCTGCTTTCCCTGTTTTAGCTCCAGCCTCATAGTCCTGGTACTCATCCTTGGCTGGCTGCCTGGCAGACAGTGAGGATTGAGCAATCATTACTCGTGGAGAACACAGGACCCTAGCAAGTAACCTAAGTCCGGTAGGGGTCAC